TTTAATAAAGAAATTTGCAGACTTGCACAGAGATGGTAAAATTATGATGACTGATAACGGAGATGAAGACAACAGACGACAAGGACAGGGAGGATGCAGGGACTGACAGAGACAAGGAAGAAGTCTCATTGTGACGAGTAAAGTGTATCTTGGCCGGCTGGGCAGCTCTCTGGGTGCTCAGCACCCCCAAAGCTCTGATCCTAGAATCGCCCCTGAATGCAAGGTGTTGTCAAACCTTTGAGCCAAATTTCTCCTATGCAAAACATGCAGCAGTCTGTGCCAGGCTTACTTTAAGACTGTTGGTTCCTGTCGAGCCTACACAGTACTGGTCAGTGCTGTACCAAAGCTTTAAATGCTAGAAAGAAAAAAATAAAACTCTATGCATGGGTAGCATTTAGGCATTAATAATTGATATTTTACTATGACATGACACATGAGTTTTCTGACAAATATATAATAATGAAGGATTTAACATTTTGTGAGCAGAGGCCTGTGCTGCGAATAGAAATTAAACATACCCAGTGCATGAACTAGTGAGGCTATACTGTAGGACAAATACGTACTATAGGGAAAATATGAAATGATTATCTATACAGCAGAGCACTACATTTAAATATTAATGCTTATAGAACAACAACATTGTTTTGTGTGGTTTTTAGCACCAGACACAGGAGAATAATAATATATCAGAGGAAATGAAAAAATATTATTCTTTTCTGTTTTTTGTAATGAAAGTGTGTGACTCTAGGAAAACAGCTTAACAAACTTGAATTTAAAGCAGTGGTTCAACTTAAGAAATTAACGATTTGTTCAAGCAGTGTTATCCTCTCGCCTGTTGCACTTTGCTGTGATTGGGTGATCTAATGATGACTCATAAGAAACAATAAAATGACACAAGCACCAGATATATTAAAACACTTCACTGTGGTGTCATACACTATGCTAGAGGACCACTGGTTTAAGCACAAAGTTTTTATGAGTTTACCGTGAATAATGCATTCAACTCTTGTTGGTTATTTTCTTTGGGTGTTTTTTAATGTCTTCTTTAATACGATTTGTATTGTCTTCGTTGATGTTAACACTTCTAAGTCACTAAGTGTGGAGGGAGGTGTTGTGGAAAAAGAAGAAGCTACGATGACAGAGCCAATGCATGGTTTAAAGATCAGGGGAACGAGAAGTGTTGATTCTAGTTTATCTCAGTGTGTAAAACTGGGAGGCAGTGAGCTCCCAGCCTTGCACTCTGATGGGGATGTTGTGATTGGAGGGTTTTTCCCTCTGCATTATGTTGTCACTGAGCCACAGCACAGCTACAACAGTAAACCTCAAATTACATCATGCAGCAGGTGAGTGTAGTATAGTGCTTTTTTTTTCTTCTTCCTTGTAACACAAAGTCAAAAAAGCATAAGCTTTGACCATATTGCCATGTTTCTATAAGACTGTTTAAATGATATTATTTTATTAAATGAATAAATATGTTATGGAGTTTTTCTTATCTACAGCTTTTATCAAAGAGCCTTTCGCTGGATGATGACTATGGTGTTTGCAGTGGAGGAAATTAACCATAATTCAAGTCTGTTACCAGGTGTTAAACTAGGCTACCATATCATAGACTGCTGTGACCATATCCCCACCGGCCTTCAGGCTCTTTTTTCGTTACTCAGACACTCTAAAACTGTCGACAGTAAAGTTGAAAGATCAGAAGATACTGAATACAATGGTATCAACGGGGAAGGGTTAAAGACTGTAAGACTAACTACAAAAGAAATAATGACCTCATTGAAAAATAGAAATGAAATTTCAAATAGTGTTAAAAACACTGGATATTACCTAAATGAAAATACAAGAGAAGAAATAAAGACGAAAGAGTCTTCCACATGTCTGTATTATTCTCCGGTTCCTGCTGTGATTGGTCTTGCACCCTCTTCGTCTAC